ATTATCCCATCATATCCTTAAAAAATGCAGAATTCAGCCCTGTAAACTGAGGGCAATAATAAACTGATCGCGTGGAACAATCGCTTCTATTTGAATCTTCTCCCTTCAAATGTTTATATGAAAAAGATGAGATAAAAGTGTTTGCAGATAATCACATTACGAGAGCTTAAGATATGATAACGATTAAAAATCATGCAAGAGATCTCATATTGTTAAAGGGTATTGAAAAAGGGCGCCACATGAAATACTTTTCCGCATATTGCCTTTGATATCTGATTTTCTTCTTTCTTCGGACAGGTTGGAACTGATGTGTTGTTTCACCAGAGCGGTGCCTAGATGTATGAGGTTTTGTAGGCTAACTTAGCTGTGTGTTGAGGTTTCTTTGGGGTGTAATGCTGTATGGTGTCCACCTCGTTCTTATTTTTCTTTTTCATTCCTTCGTTCTTTCCTTCTCGGAACTACCTGATATTAGAATTGTCCGCCAGTGCTTCCGAAGTGAGGATTTAATACAGCCCCCCTCCCCATTCACCCTTCCCGTGTTTAAACAACAATGATTGCCCTGTTATTGACGCTTTGGGCTGACATTTGTTTGTGAAACTGTGAGAGACTTATCCCAGATCATCTCCCCTGGCGGCCAATCATGCCTTCATCATGGGAGGCGCACAGTGTACTCCAGGCGTATTCACCAATTTCACACTTCCCATAATGCCTAGTAAAAGTCACGGATATGACGTAAGACCACCCCCTCCCCCTTCCTCGATGTAATATTTCCAACAAGTTCTATCGACAATCTGGTCAACTATTGTTTTGAATTATTTCTCTAGTATAAAGCGCATGCCATAATTGCATTTTTGTTGGAATTAGAGAAAATGACGTACCTTCTATCGTTCTAATATACGTAATGCGACCGTGCGAGTAGGAGAGTCTTCAGTAGAAGGTAGAACGATAGAAGGTACGTCATTTTCTCTAATTCCAACAAAAATGCAATTATGGCATGCGCTTTATACTACTAGTAGATAAATAATTCAGAACAATATAGTTGACCAGTTTGTCGATAGAACTTGTTGGAAATATTACATCGAGGAAGAGGGAGGGAGTTGGTCATACGTCATATCCGTGATCTTTACTAGGCATTATGGGAAGTGTGAAATTGTTGAATTGTGTGACTCTCTTGACTTCTCGTACGTTACGCTGCGGTGCAGATGGCGAGTCAGGACGCATGCGCGGGAATCAGTAGCTCAAAGGTCGACCATTTTAAGCCTCTCCTAATGGAGCAGAAGTAACCCCTAAGTCTGTGGGGAGGCTGCCCGCTAATCGGTGGGATCAAGCAGTGAGAAAAGGCAGGACGCTATAGCTTTCCTCGGCGTTTCCTCGGAAGATAACATCTACACTAAAGGGCGGGCGCCATTCAGGGACTATACAGTGTCCGGAAGGGTGTACGAAACGGGCTATTGTCACGTTTGGAATTCCTGTCTCATTTTTGGTTATATTATTGGCCAGGAGTCCCCAGACTTTATTTTACCGACCTACAGCGCGCATTTCGTCTTGTTCAGGATCCGTCCTCTTAAGCCTGTGATAGTAGTGGACGTAGATGTAGCAGAACAGTATCATCATTACCTTCGCCAAGAAGGTTATGTTTTCAGAGGCGTTCGTGTATGTGTGTGTGTCTGTATGTATGTGTGTGTGTCTGTAAACACGATAACTTGAGAAGGCCTTGATGGATTGTCTTGATACTTGGTAGGTGGGTAGGTATTGACGACACCTCAAAATGATTAGATTTTTGGACCCCCTAGCGGCTTGTTATGGTACTGCAGCTGAACTTTTGGTATCTCATGATCTAGACATGCTAGGGTGACGAAATTTAAATTGTAGGTAGCTATTGTGCTGGGGAAGAAGTGACGCGAGTTTGGAATATGATAAAATGATATAATTCATGAAAATGAGGATCCTATTTGTTAAATCTGGGGGAATATTCTATAATTTGTCAGTCGTAAAGATTAACATAATTTGGCGAAGATATGAGATCGGGGAACTCTAGTTAGTATAGTAATAGTACTGGTGGTAGCTGTAGTTGTTGCAGAAATAGCAACTATTGTAGTAGAAAAGGAGGGGGGCTGATTCATGCAAGAGTAGGAATGTTGGTTTGATTGACATACGCCGCGGCCGATCGCTACTCGCCTGCAGACTAGACTGCTAATCCTGGATTGACCACAACAGCCTACCCTGGTGCACACGTCTCCTCACATTAACGTCCATGTGGTCTTCTGCACGCAACATGGCCACAAACATAAAACCTAACTGTCGGGGAGTATGCTTACTCCATGATCACATATATCCCAACCGACTACATGTATTCGCAAAGCATTCATTCAAAGTACATGGACTCAAAGAGTCTTTCCATAAGCTCCCACAACTGATTTCCCTTCCGAAATCCACCGACTCGACCCAAAAAATGTCCTCGGGCGAGGATATAAGAACCTCCGCCGAGGGCTTAGACCCTGTAAAGTCGACAATAGCCGGCTCAGGGGAATGTCATTTAGAGAGCAGTCGCAATGGCGGAATCAATATGTAGGGTATCCTGAAATCAGCTCCATTGAGTCCAGGTTTATACAAATGTGAGCCAAAGACTCCCGGAGAGTTTGGGAGGACGGCTTGAGGCCTTTGATGGCACCGAAACGTATTATTTGTTTTTCATAATAGCCGCGATTGTCGTTTTGTTGCTGTGACCTCAAAGCGGAGAAGCGTGCAGGGAGAATTAGGCGGGTGGAAGTCATACATGTGGTGCTAAGACAGGGCGGAGCGGCCGGTTTGGTGCTGTTGGAGATAAAAAATAAATCTAGCTTGTTTTCGTGATTTTTAAAACATTATTTTTGCTGCAGAACATTTAGGCTAGTGGGGGTGGGTTTATTCCAACAGATCACACAGAGAAAAGAAATTATCTGTCCTTTGGGGACCCAAAGAAAGATCAAACAAGTCCTAGGAGTAACAACTGAAGATCAGACGTAAAATCCAGTCTCTGGTGGAGGATAGAGTGAAGTGGAGTGGAGGATGGTTTTACGTTTGGTTCCAGTG